AAGTTTTCAAAGAAAATGAATAAAATGGAACAAAAAGAAAAAAGGTATAAAAAAGAATGAATATCGACTTAAGGAAAATTTAATTGGATATTAAGCTGACAAAGTCGTATTTAATGAGATATAATTTCATCGTTTCGATATTATCGGTTAAATTCAGTTGATTGAATCGTAAAGCTTAAACTGGCTGACTTGGAGTCGTTTTCTACTTCATTGCATTAGAGATAAAATTAGCTGATAGCAGCACAGAGAACGTGATGATTGTTAGAGGGAATTTGAGTGTTTCAGAATAGAGAGGAAGTAGACGTGGTAGATGATATATTGCGTCAGTCCGGGCGACACAAAATGTGACGCGGGAGGTGTGTAAAGTGTCAGCTGGCAGGATGACAAGCCGCGATATTTAGCTGCTTTACAAACCTCAAGAACGTTAAGCAGGTGACTATGATTTTCGTGGCATCGTTTGTAAGATAACTCACAACCAAGAGTGTAAGGATTCATTTTATGAAGTGATTATATCTCATCAACGTCCACTCCTGTAGCCAATTAAGATAAATCTCTGTAGAAATTATCTACCAAATGTCACGACTGTATCTCAGATATCTGACATTAATTAAATGTCTTTCTATGTGATGTCATAACACTGATATAGATAAAAAAATAAATTGTTTTTGCAAAAGTTACCTAGCTGTTTATTTTTACTACAACAAGAGTGTCAATAAAAACTTTTTAGTAATTGAAAGCTTAGCTTTGGTTAAACATAATTTAAATTTTTACTTCTTATAAAATATTCTCAGATCATAAAGTTGTTATAAATAATCAGTAATTAAATTATTTCATTATAAAATATTTAATAAATGGAGTATTATCTCAGTAAATTAATTAATCAATAAATGTCATAGTATCTTCATCTTATGAACTATCATAGTCTCCTTTATAGCTTGCATCGGGATATTTTCATCTCAAAAAATAGCTGAGATACACCTTCATTAAGACCTACTTAAAATGAAAGATGACAACTTTGAGTTTGACCTAGATTACACAGAAAATCTAAAATTCTTTACACAGCTTCGCAATTCACACAGTAACTACAGTTTATTAATGTATTATATACGTATCACAAATTGAATAAATGAATTATCCACGTAAGTAAATTATCTTAGATTTATGGCAAAGATTATTAACAACTACAGATTTTTTCTGTTGTTATTATAGAAAAAAAATTAAAAACTGTAACAGATCAATAATCTGTAGCAATTGCATAACATTTTTTCCGGTGCCATATAAGTTTTTATCGTGTATAATTTGGATCAAGTTAATATGTAATTGGAGGATAGGGTAAATAATCACTTATGCTCAGTAAATAATTAATGAAAATAGATATTTGATAATTTATTTATTTAGCACTACTAGAGACTGTTTACTTGATCCTACAATTTATTTCTTTCAGTATACAATGTTTTTTCCAGCACTGAAAAACATATGGATAACGTTTTTTTCATAAAAACATTTATAGAATAATAGAAATGATAATATTTAGAGTATAATTATGGAGAGCTATTTGAGTCTTAAGGGCAAAGTAAAAAATTTATTTACCTACCTTCCAAGTGACAGCACAGCGTGAAGTAGCAAAGGACAAAGCAGCTTTTGATATATAACGTTGTATATTCTACACGGTGGTTGAATCAGCTCTTTTATATTTTAAGGAACCTTAAACAGGAAAAAAGATAACTTGCAAAGTGGAGAATAACGTGAGCAAACACTATTGCTACGTGTAACGTACTTGCTATCAAAGTGATACTTATCAGAGCTCCTTTTATCACGACATTGAGTTACTTTGATGCTATTTGCCTTTTCCCCACGCGCGTACTAGTTCTTAGAATAAGGGCAAAAGCAAAATGCGAAGGGAGTCAACCACATAGTAGTTGCTAAAACTGCTATGGCATACGGTGGTGCTAGAAGAGCTCTCTGAATGTGAGACTTGCATGCAAATTCGTGTATTATAACCACACGCACGAAGTATAAAGGTAAATAGGCAAGAAGTTTGTAAGCTTTGGGCTTGATCCCTTTGTTATTCCTACTTCGATCGTAGATGGAATATTTAAAAATTGTAAACGTGAATTGAAACTATTTGCATTCATAAATATATTTTATATGATATAAAAAAATTCGACTTTTTTTAATACTATTATTTTTTTCACTAAAACTTCTATAGAATTGATTATTTATATCAAAATTAATTATTATTAAAAATTTGTATGTGTCATTATTTATTTCTACAGAACTGTAAATAATGTTTATCTATAGATATGATTGTTTTATATAACTTGATATGTATTTGAATTACACCGTAATTTATTTGGTGAAATCAAAAGCAAATTGATGCATATAATATTCCAGCTGTTAGTATCATACAACATGGTGCACGTTGGTATCAGTTGGAATTTAATGAATCTCCCTCGGGGATGTGGCAAATTAGTTTTTGAAGTACATACGACAGATGGAATAGATGATCGTTGAGTCGCTGAGAAATTTTCAGTAATGTAGATGTAAAGTAGAGAAGTATTACGACTGAGAAGAAGTCATATTTATTATAAAGAACACTTAGGAAATTATTCTGCAAATTATAATGAATCATGACCTACTTTTAGTTTACAGTATGTTTATATCTATGGTTCATTTGTTTATTTAAAGAGCGGAATACGTCTTTCATCGGCTAACCCATGAGATACACCAATATATTGAAACTTCCAGAAGTGACGATTGGTAATAATTTAACAGAATACAATGTGATTACATAAAAACAAATAGTGAGCCATAATCCTACCTTCTCCTCTACGGTAGTTTTTAGGTAATTTTTACCACAGCACTTGTATTGATGCATTCTTACCTTAACCAAACTCTATTCTATTTTTTGCTTCTAAAATGAATTTTATATTTAATCCAAATTTCATAATATTCTTTATTAAATGGATAAAAATTTGATGTTTTATTTTTTTAATTTTGTTATCTTAAAAAATTTGTATTAATATTTTGTTATATTCATTTATTGACCCATGTGTCATAAAATATAACGATAAATTTCAGAAAACATTCTTTGTTTTAATCGTCAATTATGAAATAAATTTGCCAATTTATAACAATAATTCGATGTTTTTATTAAACCATGACTAATAAATTTTGTTTGTGTTAAAATGTAAAATATTTATCGTCGACTTGTAATTATCAGAGTTCTTCCATTATATTATGTATGACAAGTACTTTATTTGCAATTTAATTTTAAATGCATGTACAAAGTATATTAAATATACTAGGTTAAAAATAAAAGGATGATAAAGCGAAGTAGTTAAACTCGACGTTTTTATGTTGAAATATTCGCATAAAACTGTATTTCTGTACCAACTATACAAGTACAATTGCACTAGCTAGTGATTATTATGACAAGTGTACTTTGTTATCTAATGGTTTTTGTACTCTGTCACTGTCTCTTGGATTTCTTTTTTCTTTCATTACCTCGTCGTTTAACGCCCCACAAAAATTATTACTACAAGCGCGTTGCCTGGAGGTCATAATAGATAACGATTCGTTACTGCTCTTACGTTAGTAATTATATTAGTTTGTGTGGTTTTGCTTTTAGAGGATAATCTAATGATAAAGGCTTTGATGAAAGATTTAAATTCTCACATATCTGTATATATTTACTAAATTAAGAGATATAAATAGCTCAAGTAATGAGACACAGAAAGATAGAATTGTCGTAGCACAGAAAAGGTTTGCTTTATACAATGGAACGGTATATCAGTTTTCAATTTGATAAGGCCAAATTTATTTTTGTGTATGATAAAACGTGAACGAATACTATACAGAGAAAAGATGAAAAATATACACTATAGGGTAGGGTTGCCATCCGTCCGGGTTTTTTATTTTAGTTTTTTTTATTAAAAAGTTCAAAAATTATATAAAAAATGGTTCTATGAATATATTTTCATTGTTTTATGTGTCTCTGAATAGAATCAATATTTAATTTGAACAATTACGATTTGTTCTAAATAAAACTTTTTACGTTTTAATATAATAAAGATTTAAATAAATTTCAAAATGTTTAGTTAAAAATTTTAAGTCTGATTTGTCCTGGTTTTTTGAGAGATGAATCCTTGTTTTCTCTGGGTTTTTTACCGCTTCAGTCCGGGTTTTCAAAAATTTGAAATAGCAACCCTACTATAGGGTGAATAGCTATAAGGCAAGTTTAAATGTGTGAGAAGATAATTCGTGGAGTTGAATATGATCGATGTAACTAAGTCATGGTCGATTTACTAAACTTTCGTGCGGTTGTGTGCATGCTCGACATAAATGGAGAGGTTACGACTATATTAGAGTCGAACTTGAAATTATATTAGGAATAAATTACAAATAGAGTTCAATATCTAATCATATTGATTACAACTACACTTATATACAATGAAGTTATTCAACTAATAATTGTTATTTTTATATTATATGGAAATATTTTCACCTTTATTAATATTAAATTTTATTCGATATTTTTATATTCAATGGTTGTATTAATAATTTTCAATTTTAAATCTTTTTTTAATTCTATTGAAATTTTCCTCAACCTTTGATGTTTTAATAAATAATTAAAGTTCAATTATACCTGGTATAAATTTTAGAGAAGTTTGTAGCAACAATATTTCATAAAAGAATGATTGAATTTATTTTTGTATTTAAATTTGTTTCTTTGTATATTGTTAAATTATTTATGAGAGTAAAATTTTTCTAAAATATGTGGTGTATGTTGTGAATATTCATGATGTAAATCAAAGCTGAGCGTATTTATTAATTCAAATAATATTCATATTACGCGCTTTCAGTTTAGATTTTCATTGTAGCCAATAAGAAGACTGGATCATCATCTAAATGATAGCCAATCCCTTTCACACAACATTTCCCGCGCTGTCTACACCTGTTGCGTCGCCATTTCTATTATAATTTTGTATTCATTCACACGTACCGGTAAATGTGGTGTGTTTTTTTCTCATTTATTTCTGTATTTAAAATACTCTTGATACAATTGTAAGGAAAATATGTAACTGTTAGTTTTCATTCATGTGAAAAAAATATAAGTTGTATGGAATTACCTAAGCTTTGGAAAAATTTAATGTTCTCGTGTAGTGTATACTTAACCTGATTTACTCAATGTATCATGTGTCAATCTTGACATTTGTATGCATTGATTGTTTAATTCAAGTCTAATATTTATCCAATAAAATAAAAAAAATGACAGATTATATTTCTGCGGAACTTGCTGCCACATGTGATGCTTTAGGTTATTTTGATGGGTCAACATATCATTTAGATTCTCATGCACTCAGTGAGTTTTTATGTTTTTATTTCAATTGTAATATACTTAATAATATAATACACATACTTATACGTTTTTTTTTCTTATAACAGATGTGATAAAGGATTTAATAAAGTATCTGAAAAGAGATGATGACACTCACACAGTACGTCGATATCTTGGTCAAACTAAATTGCTCGAAACTGACCTCATTCAAATTTTTATTCAACATCATAAAAATGGTGAATTATGGGATGTTTTGCTGCGGTAAAAAAAAGAAAACATTATTTGGAAAAATTATAAGCTTATGATAAAATACGTAAAAGAATTAATTCTTTTTTTCGATTTATCAGGTTGATCATTAATTTAACAAGCCCAGCATTGATGATCTACAACGAAGAACTACCTACAGAAAAAACCAGCCGTAATCATTATTTACAATTAGTTAGTTATTTACAATGTTACAAAAAAGCTTTTACTGATGAACGTATTTGGGCCGTTGTTAGTGAACGTTTAGGTACAATTTTAAAAATAGTAAGTAAATTTCCGTTTAAAATTTTTAATGTAGACAGAAGAACAATGAATAAAAATTTGTGTCTATACTCATATCTACTTTTTACCACAGGATATCTCAGAAAGAGGTGAAGAAAATGAATTAATCATTGAGAGAATTCTGACGTTAATTAGAAATGCTCTTCAAGTGCCTCCAGATGACAATGAAAAACGAGTTGACAATGATGCTACTGTTCATGATGAAGTACATATCATTTTTTCATTATTAAATTTTTTAATTTTATATGCTTTTTTGATATCTTATGAACAATTTTTGTTTGCTGAAATGAAAATCATATTAAGCTTCTGGAATTTAATTAAAGGTCCTTTTTGCTTTAAATGCATCTGGAATTGTAGACTTGCTTCTCTTCATAGCAAGTAACAGGAGTGAACAGCAGTTCCATATGCAAATAATTGAGGTATGTAATTTTAAAATAACTTATTTTATAGTTAAAAGTTGCAAAAGTTGGAAAAAAATAATAGTATTTTATGTAAAAAATCTACTTTCAATAAAATTCAAATAGATTTATAAATATTAAATTTAGTAGAATATCTAATCGATATTTGTACTTATTTACTTACTTCAAACAATGAACATTCTTTATTTTTTCTATCAGCTTAGGTCGACAAAACTTGTTAGTTATTAACGATAATAGATTATAGTACACTGATTTCTATTTTATTATTGTTGGCAAGATTATAGAATTGATGTTACGTGAACAAAATGCAAGTAAATTGGCTAGCGTTGGACTGCAAAGAACAGCAGCAGAGAAAGAACGTGAAGAAGCAAAATTATTGGCTATCCGGCGAAAAGAAATTACAGAAAAGATGGAAAAAATGAAAAAATATACTGGTTCAAGGTATTTAATATAGATTTTATTTCGTTTAAAATTTTATTTAGTTTGCTTTTATCATATTTTAAACTTATACCAATTTACTCATGATATTTGACATTTCATTTGTGCAAATGTAAATTTTTCCTTAATATTTCTATTGTATTACTATTTTATTTTTATCTTACATTTTTATTTAATTTTTACATGTTAATCTGTATCATACGATATTTGTTTTCTGCTGTGGTAGATCAAAACGAATTTTGCTTTTATATGGTAAAAGAGTATAATACAAAGTTGAAGATGTTACTAAAAGACAGAAGCTTTTTACTGACAGTAATGTACTATAACAGTTGTGTAGGATTGTCGATTTAATGATTATGACCTACTTCTTTCAAATAAAATAGAAACGCTTTGGAAATGAATAGCGAGCTTTTATTTACTTGTTGAGATGAAGCAGGCTACATTTTTATAATGAGCACGTATTCATCTTTGTGCATTATGCGTAAGGCTTTGTAATGTGTGAATGAGACAAATAGTTTTTAATATGAAAGCAGAAAATTTTTTTTTGTAATATTAAGTTTTTGTTGAAATGAGTTGTTAAAAGTCATGACTTTATAATTTTTACTTTTGTGACAACATTTAAAAATTCATGAACTGTAATTACAGTTTTAGTAAACTTTTGTAATATAAAATCGACTAATCATATGATTTTTTCAGACATTCTCGGTTCGGAGGAACTTTTGTGGTACAAAATATGAAAGCCATTGGTGAAAATCAGTTGATCTGTCATAAACCGTTTCAAAAAGTCGAATCTCTGGACTTTTCGCGAGATAAAGTAAGAATCAAATAAATTCGCTTTATTATTTTTCTTTTTTTGACTGATAGGAATAAAAGACAGATATTGTTCTGTATCCTAAATCCTATTTTTTCACTTCTATTAAAATTAATGTGAAATTTACTGAAAAGAAATTTGACTACAGTTTCATTCAATTAGCAGTTGGGTTCTCCAGTAATAGTTTTCATTAGTGAAAAGAGGCCCTAGATACTAATGAAAATACTACTCTTAATTAGAGATATTCCAGGATGTAATTAAACTCAGGCTTGCTTAATGGCTTCGGAAGTAGGTCATCTTTCTGTTTATGTTGCGTATAGCTTAAAGCTATTCATTTTTTTTATCGTTCATTCTGCCTTATTAAGGTTTTTTATTAGGTCTCCAGAAAAATCATCGAGTTTATCTGGTTTCTTTTAATTCATTTTGTATTTGATCATTTTTCTCGTTTCATTGTTCAATATTAATTTTGGTGCTTGTATTAGAATTGATTAGCTACTAAAAATTTAACGTGTCTAATTTATATACAATTTATTATTGTTTTTAGAGTAAAGTGAAAAAACCTAAAAACCGAGTTCTTGTGGAACCGCCATCGGAAGAGAGATTATCAGCTTTGAGTGTACGTTTATTTCTTAAAGAATTTTGTGTGGAATTTCTGATTGGTGCTTATAATCCTGTAATGAGATATACCAAATCTTGTATTATTGGAGAAAGTAATTCATATAAGTCGGATGCAGTTCATTATTTTTGGGCAATGCGTTTCTTTATGGAGTTCAACCGTCATTACAAGTTCCAAGTGAAATACGTGAGGTAGGTGTCACCAACATTCCTCTTCTCTTCTAACAGAAACTAGGAAAGGTCTTGCATGTTCTGAAGAATGCTTTTCGAGTTTTCCAACGAGTTTCTCGTCTCATCCTATTTTCGCTCAACTTTTCTTCCAAGTTTGTTCACTTATTTTGGCGAAGCCTTAAAATCCTTGAATATATTTTCCACATCTTATCAACTTACTTTTTTTCGCCATAGACTTATGTATTCAGTTTATAAGCTTTTTTAAGTATTAAAATTTTATATTCATCTGCAGAATTTTTTTCAATGATTTTTTTTTAATAAATACATGATTAATGTTATTCTAAATATTAACTGTATTGCTTCATTTTAGTGAGACTGTTTCGACAGAAATATTCTATCTTATACAAAGGCAAATCGAGCAATATTATGAAATGGTAATCACAGATAAAAAGAAGTCTTTATTTTGGTCTAGACGTCTTCATGTAGCTTTAAAAGCTTATCAAGTAAGATTGATGTAATAATTCTTATTTTTGATGTATTAATAATTCCAATATGTTAGAAGGCTTTAATTTGTTAATAAAATTCATGGGATTTGAATAATTTAAAAGTTTTTCCTATCATTACACAGGAGCTTCTGTATACTCTTAGTGCCATGGATAAAACAGCAGACAAGGAAGTTCGAGATTCTAGTAAGATTATTAAGAGTAACATATTTTATGTTCCTGAATATCGAGAAACGATACTCTCTCAACTTCTCGGCTACGATGGACTTAAAATGTCACGGTTAGTATCACATTTAACTTTTACCACAATTTTAATACTATTTAACGATCATTGCAGTAATTGTATTCCAGTCATGTACTCATATTCTTTATACACTTTTTGGCTTGTATTTTACAATTGTCGACTTTTCTATTATATCACATTTGATTTGGTTTATTAAAATCGAAATATATATTTTTTAATTGCTGTTTTATATTTTTTCAATGGAAATTTAATCATAAAAAATTAATAATAAAGGATTAATCCATTATAATTTTCTCGTGACAATTTATAATAACTCCTAGTAATTATTAAAGAGAATAATTGTCATCATTTATAATAATGTAAAGTAAATAATTAAGCTGTCAAATTAATTGGGACTTATGAACAAAAGGTGTTTCTCTAACGTTTTCAGATAATATTCATCAGATTTTACAGTGTAATGGGTTAAATAATTAATCGAGTAGTTTTCTGTAATTTATACTTATTTTTCATCAGAATTATTCTCTTCATTTATTCCTCCATTAATTAATTCACAAAAAAAATCTTGAAGTATTTGAAGTTGAAAGTGAAAATAGTTTTTTTTTTCCTGAAAACAATTGTGTTTCTGCTGATCATTGAGGTAGAGACTTCAGATGTACTGGATTACTTTAATCTTTGGTTGAAAACGATTCCTGAAGTGCCTGGAAATGTCGATAAAGAATAGAAGTAAACTCTTTTTTGAAGCTTTATATCTAATCACTATCTCTTAAACTTAGTTGAGGTCAATAACCTCTATCGCACTTGAAGAATAAAAATCAATGAGTAAGAATAGGTACACTGTGTTCAGAGATATTGCATCAAAGTAACTAGCTTCGCTAAATTTGTGTGGTAAAACCTTTATTTGCTGAAAGTTTTATTGATTGGTAATGCATTAGCTGTTAATTAGTCATTGAGATATTAAGAAGAGTTTGTTAATTTTCTGTTATCTTCAAACATATATTTTGACCTGCAATTGCAATTTTTCAGCATTGACTTCATATTACTTCGTTTTTGGTCACATAAAGTTGTATTATATCTTCCTTAACTTGCTTGAATTTTCTTTTTTATTTCTTCCTGACCTTTTTTGTCTGTCGTTACTCAAGGGAATAAACAACGTTTATCGGCATTATTGAGTGGACGAAGGTTCGAAAGTTCGACAGTTTCTCCGCTATTTCATTTGCTTCGATGTCTCATGATTCATGATAAATAATAATTCGTACTATTTCAATTATTTGACATTTTTACAAACATAAATTCTATTTCATTTATGTTTTGCTTGTCTATACGAAATTTATAATCTATAATAATTTTAGAACTACAATAATTTATATTGATTAGAATGAATTATTCAACTAACTATAGAGTTATTTTTTACGATAAATTTAATTTTTGATGTTTAATTTCTGTAGTCATGAAATGTTTTTCATTGAAATTTGAATATTACTTATTTAACAATTTATATTTTTTATGTAATTTGCTTCTTTTCCATTATTATTTAGAATTTACTTGGTGGATCTACTAACAACAGTGCACATTTTTCTCAAGATGTTAGAGCAATTTTGTGCTCAAGGACGAAACATTGTTGTTGCAAAGAAGAAAGCTCGGCGACGTAAAAATGTCAAGAGAAACTTAAAAGGAAAGATACAACGACCTGTAAAGAGTTTAAACGAGCGTTGGGATGAAACTAGTCCAGAACTGTCCGCTGTAATGCAGGAGGGAACAATACCAACTGTTATTCCGTTTGATGCTGCCTCTGATATACCAATTGATGATCAAAAGTAAGTTTTAATGTAATTTTATTTTAACATCAATTAAATGATTTTTTTATTATTTTATATAAATTATGATAATAAAATCTGTCACAATTTGTATTGATTTTACGTTAATTTTAATAAAAAAATTTTTTTAAGAGGAGATGCCATGAAGAAGATTCAAACACTATTGAGGAGAAAAGAATTCGAAGAAGCAGTGGGGCTTTTACGAGCTGCAAGGTAAGAATTTTTGGTTCGCTATTTTCAGAGCTACGTTTTTTCTATCTTATCTCAAGCATCATAGCTTCTTACGACCTTAGCTATAGCTTTTTTCTTCATATTGCTTACTTAGCAGTTGATGGCTAAATGTAAAGTTTCTTTTCGATATACATATAATATGTAAAATATAGGAAAATTTTTTTATCTTTATTGTACTTTTTTTGGGTTACATTGAAAGCACTATACAGTTCATCCTGCTTGGTGAAGTGCTTCTGAGAGCGAACTTCCGACTTTGCGGAAGGTGGAACCAAAATCATTGTTTCGACAAACAAAAGGCTACTATGTAATGGAGGCAAAAAAGTGAACTGAATCTAGGATTTACTATCGTATACTCAGTGAATTTTTTACTCTGACACGTGTATGGTTCTGTCTAGCGAGAAATTTCATTTCCTTGTTTCGTTCTACTACTGAGATGTAAGAGCTTCGTTAAAAAGCTTTTCTTCTTTGTTCTTGTCGACTTCACTTTCTTCAACCCAATTCGTTTCAGTATCTCTTGCTACTTTATTGCACGCCCGTTAACCGTAACTTTAGAACATAAAGTTTCGTCCATCAAATACGTTTTAACCTGAATTACACGCGATGTTTTTACACTGATTCTTGATAACTTTTGCAGCTGTGGTCTTTTTATTTAACAATCCAATTACTAATTAAATAATCGTCGGCACGAGTATGTTGCACTATCTAACTTTTGTAGTAATGGAAAAAAATTGAAAAACGTTCTATTGTTAGTTTTTCGTAAACCTTTTAAAATAAGTAATTTCTAGATATCATTTTTATAGAACACAATGAAAGTTGAAAAGTGAAAAAATTTTCAAATAAAATTGATTAATTAAAAAAGAATAATCTATTCTGAGAAGTTTTCAGATGTTTTTTGGATTTTTTATGTGAATAATTTATTTTTTCAATTATTCTACTGAAAATTTTTCAAAAATACTGCTTTAATTATATATCAATTCATATCTTTGTTTACTACGTGATTTCAGTAATAATGAACAGGCGTAGAAAAAATCTCATTAGATTGTTCTATAATTAAATTTTTATGTCCAAATTTAGTTTGATTAAAAAACGTTTTATTTATCGTTAGATCAAATATTTATTAAATAAAAATCAGTAATCAAATTTCTATTTTTTTGTTTTAAGTATTAAATATCAATTTAAAAATTTTTGTAGATGCAAGTACTCGGGAAAAAAGGATCATATATGATCACGTATGATTATGTCTGACGATGTGCTGGACCAAACATATACCTGATCACATCTGGCATCATACATATCCTCTTTATGAATTGACATGGACATATAAAGTTAGTCAATAATTGAAATATAAAAAAAAATGGAGTAATTGATTTGCTATTGATTAAAGAGGTCAAATTATCATCTATTCATTGGTAGGCGTTTAGTGTGCGCAATATTTTCTAGTCAATGAATGATAGTGAGTGATCATTCATAAACAATTGATATAAAAAATTGAACATTATCATTCATAATTTTGTGTATGATCAAACAGGATAATTCACATTAACTTTTTTTCTTAGTAATTACTTTAAAAATAATTACTTGCCATTAAAATTAACTTCCCATTAGGAAGTTATTGTAATAAGGTTGATTTGTAAAATTCGTAATTTTCTAATATCTTTGCGTTTTGACGCATTTAAAAGCATATTAAAAGATTTAAAAATGGATGTATGTACGTACATATGTGCGTGCGTATGTCAGGTTTGTTTGCGTTGTCAATATCTCGAGAACCACTGAAGATATCGACTTCGGGTAAATATAATGATAATATAATGAATAAGATCTAAAAAAAGTTTGAACAAATTCGGTCTAGTCGTTTTTTTTTATTACAAAAAAAGTGTAAAAAAAGTTAAGGACATTTGGAATAGATTGTACTTATTAGATGATTAACGTTATTGACAACTGAGGTCAATACAATATGGTTGTTAATGATGCCACATGACTCTTCATAATTATGTATTTTTTATAACAATTTTAATGAGTTATAAACAACAAAAATCAGAAGATGACAAAATTACGGATTTTTATTAATGGGAAGTTTGTCGTCAGGGCACAAATTGAACTGAGATCCATATTTTATTTTTATGTTATAATATAAGATCAGCTTTGTGAACTATAAAAGTATATGGAAGTCTCGTGATGAAAGAATAGCTATATAGAGTTTTTATGAAGGATTTTCTTATGATTTTAAAATAATCTTCTCACGATTTCGTCCTCGATTAATAACACATTGTTGATACGAAGAGTAGAGATTTTTTTTTATTATGATAGTAAAAGTTGTATGGCTGCATCTTAACTGTTTCCAAACTTCTACGATAAAAGCGTCCAGGAAGTGATAGAAGTGCGAAAGCAACTGCATCGATCCAAACGCAAACTGTCAACAACTCAGACAATACTTTTACCAATGCTAAAGTGAAACACTTGAAAACTTTCAAGAGTCGTCTGAGGTACCAATACACTAGCTCAAGAATTTGTATATACTTATTCGCAATGCTCGTACTCTCAGCAGTTTTGTCTAAATCTTAAAATCTCGTTTAATTACTTTACAACTGAAACATAGTCGAGTTATAAATTATAAATACATAACGATGCTACGAGAGATTTTGAAACAGTAATTGTCGTGAATCGTTTATTATTGTTTTATTCTATGTAATTTAATCAATTTATTATTTAAACTTTTAATAATTTCCTTAGAGAATCTAATTTGCATAAAAATATTTAAACTGGCACATAAGTGAATAAAGTCCTATTCGACGAGAATTGCCTTAAAGAAGTTTAAAAAGAAAAAATTCCTTTTATCAAAAAAATTTACGTTAGTGATTTCTTTAATACAACGGTTCTTTTCACTTTTTTCGCAAGCTTCCCTCGACATTTCAGTCATTGGAAGTAGTCTTTTCGATCCGAAATTGGTTCAATAATGCAACCTATTGGCAGGATCGGTCTTTGCAAGACCCTCTTCACGTTTCATTACTGCAACCCTCTGCTAGTTTGAACTTACAGTCTGAAGAGAAAAGGGAATGATGCTCTTCATGCTTTCCTCGTTCCATTATGGTACTGTCGGAGTGTGGACAATGGAAATCCAAAGGATGGTTATATACCATCTCTTGCATACAACGAGTCGAATGGGTCGAGGTAGCAGTTTGCCACGACGTCTGTCGCATACCTTTGAGTTTGTTCTTCAATCCTTTCATCCTTACTGCTCCTTATTTCTCTTCTCAGTGAAACGATATTATTAATAACACATTTATGCTAATACTACTGGTATTAAGGCAAACAATGTAGTAGTATATTCCTTATGGTGGATTCATGTGTAAAGGAAACCCTCCCGTGATCCGTTCTTCGTTTGCCAAGCAAATACTCTCTCGTTCTACTCAGACTAAGTATAATCTTCAGCTTACCATTGCTTGTAATATTCACAACTGTTGCCACGTACTATTGAATATTTGCTGGATGAACAGTGTATGTTCGCATTTGTCAGTAAATTTAGATCTTTCAAGTGAAGTTAATTGTTTCATTCATTCAATCATACTTCTGCTAATTATGTCAGTATAAAGAATAAAATTATAATAGAAATTGAAATGTAAATTTAATTTGGTATGATTCTAATTGGTAACCCTTGCATGAAGAATTATTTACGAATTTTTTAAAAATTTCTATAAATTAAAAAATTCTTATGCTTCTATGAGTTGAAATGTATTTCGAAGATTTTCTTTCAAACATAGTAAGAATGTTAATATGAAATTCTTATTAATAAAGATTATTGATTTTTTCAATAAATTTAGATAGGAGATTTGTAAACTTATCTTTTCACTTGTAAAATATTTTTGTGATAATTTTTGTAGACTCACCCTTTCATGTAAGAAAGTACGTTTAGTTTATGTGTAGACCAAGGTTGGCTTACCAGTGGCTAACAGTAGATAACTCTGGGACAGAGTTGAATTATAATTCTGGGCCAGATATGGTTTAAGTGTCAAATGATAACATTGGCCCGGGCTCGGAATATAACCTTGGTCCAACAATGAAATTACAAATCTGTGCCAGAGTTGAATTACAATTTAAAATCTTGATAACAACACGTGACAAAAAAATATATAGTAAATTCAAGTCAATTCTAAGCAATAATAATTTATTATAATTGTTTCAAACATTATTTACTTTGAATTGAAATATAAAAAAAAAGTATTTGATCAGTGTAAGTTGATTTAAATGTGGTTCAAGATCAATCAACCAAGGGTAATGTAACCAATTTTCGTACAGACTTGGTATAGAGAAAACTGTCCTTACTTGATAGATCAATTGTATGACTAACTTGGTCCAACCTTGAATGAACTCCATTCAGCCAAAGTTTGGCAACCAAACGTTAGGCTAAAGGTCACTTGATTGTTCATCCTGGCAATTCTTACATTGGCTTTGCTGATTTATAAATGTTTGAAGCGAATAACTCACTTTGGACTTTGAACTTTTGTAACTTTGAAAAACATAAACGCTCAGCGATTGTCTAAGAATCAGTTTAAAGCTATAAGTATTTTCTTCATAAGATTTTTACTAGGTTTTATTGAAAAATCATAAGACTTTCAGTTTTTCAAGCTTTCTCTTACAAACACTGGTATATTATGAAACTGACAAGCAGAGATATATCTGCAAGATAAATGACAAATCATTCCTATTCTTTTTTATTTATATTAAGATAATCTAAAATATATTTTTCCTAAGTAGAAAGTTTTCTGTATCTTGTAATTTTCGTAATATCTCAAAATGAACATCCAGATATTTTTCACTGATAGAGAAGTGAATATTAATCCGCTTAAGGTATTACTTAGATTTATATAAAAAAATAAATTGCATCTAATTAAAAAGTAAACACTTAGGATTAAGGAATGAAGAATTATTTACAAGTCATATTTAATCTATAATTAATTATATTCTTACTTTTCATTTAAAAAAAGCTATAAAAAGAAGTCTATCGTACATCATAATGATAAAGTCGAAAGACATTCTGAGAGGAAAGATAAGGAAAAAGGAAGTTGAAAAGAGCTTCATTGTCACAGGACTTAAAATAACGAGAATAACGTAGCTCTGGATCTCTATTCATGTCGTCTTGCTATATATTCAGATCAAGCTGTTTTTCACTTGCTATTTAACTAGAGTTTGCTATGTTCTGGACAATGTTTCTGTGCTTATTGAATTGGCCAAGATGTGTCAAACGTTTTACATTCACTAAAACTTTTTCAAAGAATATTGACTTTACTTTCATAAAAATTAAATTGTACTTTTATTTGACCTGTATATCTTTTTATAAAACGTATTGAAGTTCAATACTGAAAATTCAATGAATAAAATTGAATAATTTTTTTACCATCCTAATTCTTCTAAAGCTACACTGAAATATTTATTAACTCAATTTTCCTTGTAATTAAGGAATTGTCTCAAGTAAAAGTGTAGAAAATTAAAAGTAAGTTCTATGCAATTAGACAATTAACTTATAAAAATAAGTTAATTTTAGACATTGCATAGTTTGATAATATTTCTAGACTAGAAATAAAGGAGAATATTCTTCAGGAGAAATTTGTAAGTTTAATCATTTGAATTTAAATTGAATATTTATGATTCAAGATCAACTTTTGTTGAAATCTTTAAATTATTATCTTAGTACTTATAATAAAGAATGAATTTTGATAATAAATTTTCTAAAGTGTTAAGTATACTTACATATTTTATTATATAAAAATTTGGAAAAATTGTTACATGAACTCATAAGTATTTGTTTTTTTAGAGAGGTGTGGCCAGAGAATGATTGTTTTGGTCGAAAAGATATACCTGTCGAAGAGGAATTTCTCGCCCTCCAGGAAATATTCTTCACTGATCTAGGTGGTAAGTCTCTTTGATTTATATTTAGTTTTATTATGTTTTTAATTAACCAACGAACACTTGAGTTTGTAGTAAATATTAACCACCATCAATACTTGAACTTTAGCAAATTGAGTTAAATATTAAAAAACTTAGGCTAGAGTAAATAGTTGAGGAACGATCTATTGACTATCCTCCTTAGTTTTTAGTTTCTAAGGGAGAAGAAAGTTTGTTTGCACTTGTAGAACAGGGGAGATCGTTAGTACCTCTTAGCATCGGTTAACGACTGCGTCTAAGTGGTTGAGTTGAGTTTATTGGATATTTTTTATGTTCTCGTAAAGTCATAATAGATGAACAGAATATTAAAAGACTATTTTAAGTTTTAAATAAATATAAAAGATGAAAAATTATGAATTAACGTAAAATATCTTAGTTATGTCAAGTATTACAAATGCACGAGAAATTGATTTGAAATAGAAATAGCTGAGAGATATCATTAATGTTGAAATTATTATCAACGCAGCTGTCGAATTCTACAGTAAATTCAAGTTTTAGTAAAGTTGTTAGGAAACAGTTGCAATGAATTTGAATAGAACATTAATTTTAGATGAGTTAAGTCAATTTCTGAATTCATATGGATGTATATAGGACAAAGTCCCATTCTCTATATTCTTTATTAATGTATACATATTACAATGGTTCATGATAAAGAGATCGTTTTTCAATTGGTAAATTGACATAAACGGCTGTCTATCATTAACTTCTTAAATTGAAGTTATATTATTATTATTATTTTATTGTGGTGACTGCAACCAGAGGTGTGCAGCCAGCCATTGCCCGAAGGCCTTCAGCTTCTTGAAATTATATAAATCAGTTTTGTTCAGTATATTTATGATTGATTGAATATTATTTTGCTGTAATTAGAATTTAAGAAATGGAAATTGAAATATTTTCTTAATTAAAGCTCTATTAATAAAAATGGAGAAGAAATAAAAATTAATTTTTTTTTATAAGAAGTAAGTAAAAAATATTTATAAAGACATGATTTCATTCTCAGTAAGTTTAGACGGGAAGGTAGTTGGGTGTAATAATTGTAACATATATCATGACACAAAATTTAATTAAACGCCTTCCTCCTGACGGTATTCACTTTGCGCTTCTAATTTATGTATGAATAACTGCCCTGTTTATCCATCGTGTTTTCCATCAACCTTAGTAACTTTAAATTCTGTTGTACAATTCCACTTTATTTTCACTTTAAATATTTATTTTATTTTTCGGTTATTTATACGGTACATATATGTACCCTAAATATTTATATTTACAAATATAGAAAATGACTATTGAATAAATACAAAAATCCCTTTATTTTATTTGAAATTAATTTTAAATTTTTTATAGATGAAAAATTGAAATATCTTTTTGAAGGAACTTTTTTCCATATATTATAAATGCATTTTTAAAAATTATTACGTCTTTTTTATTCTCTTATAAATCATCATAATTTAGCTTAGTAAAAAAATTTCACATAATTCTTTCTGTTAAATAATAAATTTAAATCCTAGTGATGACGTTTTGGGTCGCAGGTGCGTGTAACGAATACTAGTATCTAGAATTCATTTTACGAATCTGTAGTGTTCCAGGCGTTTTACTGTAAAGAGAACGCTAGTACAGGAGTAAAAGGGAGAGAAAGCGAGACAGGCGGAAATGCAAGGCAATTTAATTAAAGACCACTGGAACCATACACCCATGCTCTCTGAAACATGAAATATACGTTCTGTCTAGGCGGATTAGGTAGAAAAATTCAACTTGTTGCGTTTTAAGCCGATTCCTGTGACGCATTGATTGACATTAATTGCGTGGTCCGTCGCGACACCATCACTCCCTCGTATTTCTACCCTTTCTCGTCATACGCTGTGTCACGTATATGCCGCTACATATTCGATGTGCATGCCAGACAAACCAACCAATGCCCACTATGATTTTGTCACAAGCCCCACATTAATTGAGCGACGACATGAAGAATCCCAATGCAAAGCTTGACGAGAATATTTAACATTGACACTTCATATTCAACTTACTCTTGTGTTCGATTGCTCATTTTAGTCATTCGAATTTTCATATTTTAGAATTATATTACAAAATAAATTGAGAAGAAGATAGGATAACAGTTTATGAAATTTTTTAACAAGTTCGTTGTTTAAATATAGTGGAAAAAATTTTGTTATTTAATTTAAATTATATTTAATTATTTTTACACTATCAAAGTGCATTGAGTGTATAGTTTTTTGATTTTTTGATGAAATAATATTTTTCCATTCATAGAGTTCTGTACGATATATGCATAATAAAGAGCTAATTAAGTGTTTGTTAAATTCAACTCAGTGTTTTTTTTTTTATCAAAAATTATTATTTACTAAAAGCCTTGGAAATTAAAAAAAATTAATTTGGACTTCTAAATGGAAAGTTATTAGTGTGGACAGATAATCGCACCCAGATCTACTTTGTAATTTAGCAATTATTCTACTGGATATTTTGATTAATTATAATCCTTCATTTTATTTATTTTATGAGACTGACAATTCAGTTGCGTTCATGTGAGGTTTATTCTATCAATGGAAAATAAAATAATAAATAGTAACACTAAATTTGATTGATAACACAGCACTTCTAAATTCTAATTTAGACTTAGAAAGATCATCCATAATTACAGTTGTGTGAGTATTAATTCAGCTGTCAATCGCCAGATAATTATGATCCTGGATTTATATAAAACCGCACAGCATCCTTAAGTTGTCAGGTTAAATTTACTCAACCCATCAGAGTGAAACTTGCCTATGTTTTTGAGTCAAACTATTTGTTATGCAATGAAAAATTGATTGCTATCAATTTAGACATTTTCGAGTTATATGCACACGAATAGACAGATAAGTAGACATCTTTTAAAGAAATTATTATTTTGAGTCCTACTTTGTTTCGAATATTCTCTTAGCAGAATTATTCTTTTTTGACAAATTCCAGTTTATAAAAATAACGTATATATGATTTTTAAAATTTTTAATGAACGAGTCCTGGCTGGATACTGACTCCATTTGATGGTCAATACTAGCCCAATTATGACTCCGTTTTATTTTCGGACAGGCATTTTTTATGATTTTGAATATTTTTTTACTAAAAAAATACATTGAATATCAGTTTGAAGTAATAGTGCATAAGCGGAATTTCACTTCAATTTCAGTATGTATTGTTTTAGTTAATTGAATCAGTTTTGCTATTTGTAAAGAGTAAATTTACGATAGAGGAAAATATGTTAAGTAACTATTTATGAAATAATAAAAAATTATTTAAAGCAAAAGCATTTACTTGAACTAGTGTGTTATCATCAGATTTATGTATGTGTGCAGAATTTTAATCTGCTTAGATAAAAGTTCATTCCCAATTGACTTGTAAGGTTTTCAACAAACAGACAACAAAATAAGCTAAATAATAGCTTACAAAAAACTGTTACAGGAGAAAGGATTGTTAAGGGAAAGTAGGATTACAGTCTAGTCTTTAATATGGTCCATTCGTTTATTATTTTACGATTAAGCTGCGTTTTTCACTGACTAAACCACCAATATATTGAAAAATAACTTTTTGGCAATAAACAACAACTTCCAGAAGTAATGGTTGGTAATAATTTAACAGAATGAAATGTGATTGAGTAAAAACAAAAATCAATCCATAATCTTACTTTTGCCTCTATTAACAGAATATATTCAGTTGTTAGAAGAATTGTCGCAGCTTCTTATTGGTAGCAATTGATATAAGTATTTTTACAATTTTTTTTTCCTGTAAAGAAAAATAAAAATATTTTTATTTATCAAAAAAATAAGTCCGTAATAAATTTAATTGTTATTTTATCTGAATGATCTCTTTATTGTATGATTATCAAAAATGTATAAATTTTGATATTTATTTGATATAATGATTTAACTTTTATTCATACTATCGGTTTTCATTAAGAAGCTTTCTACAAACGATCAAATATAAAATTAGTGGTTCTACATACACTTTTATAACACAATGAATTGCCAAGATAAACGATGTTAAGAACGCCTTTTACATAAATTTCCTATGTCATTTATGCTTCGTGAAAATTACATGAAGCAAAGATGAAACGGAAGTAGGACGACCTGACATGTGAGGTTGGGCACTTCTCGTAAACTTTAATCCACGTAACATAATAGCTGTTTTACATCCTTTCCACCTATCTATTTCTCAGTGGCCTGTTTTACTTTCAACCAAGTTCTTTTTTACTTTTATATTCCTCTATTCTTAGTTGTATCTTTAGCGTGGCAATTTAGAACCCATTTTAGAGGAAATGTCTCTTTTACGCCTTGTTGTTGGATTGCAGCAACTTGTAATATCAACGAAATAGTACTCTGCAACAGAGTCGTTAAATATTTATTTGGAGGTGAAATAGCAAATATTAAAGATTTGCAATAAATTCCTTTGACTTGTTAATCAAAGAAATATAACATGTTTTAAGCTTGCCAATAAAACTTGATACAAGCTTTATTGAGAAACTAACTCGTATAAAAAGGAAATATATTTTATTGGTAAAAAGATATACTGCAGATATTTTTTTATTAGTTATCTCTTTCTAATACCTACAAGTAGGTATGCAATATTTTATAAATAAATCAATTATTGTTTATTCTACAATTGTTCTTTATTTTTATTAATAAATATGATAAAATAAATAATTTTTTATTATTGAAAAGTTAAATAACATCCTGTCTGATAGATGTAATGTAATTTGAAAATCTATTCTCGAGAATGAATGTTGGCAATTTTTTATCTTGGTATCACTAAGATTCGAATCCTAGATCTTAACTTGAAATAACGTTGAAATTTAGAATGAGGATTCTTCTTCTAACCAATCACACCATATGTCTGCATTCCACATTATCACCTAAGCTTTTTTCTTGTATTTTTCAAACTTCTTTTTCCAATTTTTATAGTGTAATCGTTTTCAAAAC